GCAACTGCAAATGCCACAGCTGCTGCTGGCAAGCGGCAAGCGAACCGCAACAGCTTGGCCCGGCTGTAGACTGAAGTTTGATGAACGACTCCTATGACTCAGGTCATTGTGTGCTGTGCTGGCATTGCAACCCTTCCAAGATGGACGCCTACATCAGACGGACACTTGGAACTTTAGGTGTTTTAGTTCTCACGCTGCCTGACAGCTCCCTCCCACTGTGGAGAAAGCGGCTAAGGATACGAGAGTCAGTTCGCTGTGCCGCTGGTCTCCACTTGAATTAGTTGAGTTGTGGTCGGTGCCTTCAGGGCCATTGGACCGAATTGGGCCTGAGTCAGGCAGGTCAGTGCTTCTCGGCGGATGCCCCGGCTGTGAGATGAGGATTTTAAACCTTAGCCCTACGAAGTAGCCGCGAGCCCGAAAAGGCCAAGGACTTAGGGACCCTCCTGGAGTCGGGTGACCCAACCTTTGTTGTTCGTTTTGAGGAACCACTTGGCTCATTTTCATCTGGCTTGGAGCCTGGCGCAATCTGCTGCCAAGCCCATCCGTGTGGCAACTCGCGCCGCAAAAAAGATCATCTTGTTTTGTTTTTTGTAGTTTTTTTTGTTTTCCCCTCTTTTTCCAGGGCTTAGGGCTCTCGCCTGTTCGTCGGGCCTTGCTTAGTTTAGGATCTTAGTTCGGGCCTGATGCCGGTTTTGAGCGGTCGAAGCCGACATGCGGGCGTCTGTTGCAGGTGATGGTCTCCTCGGACCTTCAGCGAGTGGGGCAGAAACTTTGGCAGCAAACGACACAAATACCACAACAGAGTTTCGCTAATCACAGAGCTCTGTCAGGAAATTTCTGCAGTTAGATCTTGAGACCATCAACAGCAAAAGCTGCTCGGCACCAATCGTACAAGGGAATCCCTCTGCATTGCTGTTTGCATGAAAGCACCTGCGGTCATCGCCTAGATTTTCAGTTGGTGGGGTGGGACCCGTTTTTCAGGCTTCGGTTGAGCAACAAGGCACTTGCGTCTCAGGAATGAATGGGCTGAAGGGGTTCCGTGTGGAGTCAAGATTATTCGGGTGTGCTGCTGTCGCCGTGGCTCGAGTGCCAAGTGGCAGCCGAGTCCTCTCCCACACGAGGGGCCTACAAGACATGATGAGGTGCATACTTCCTTTGCTCTGCTTGTCGGTCCCCGCACTGGCCTGCAACAACGACGAATACTACACCTGTCAAGCAGAGAACCTCCTCGGCATCATTTGCGTGCTGGGCGTCTCTGCCTTGTGCAGCTGCTGTGTTTTTGGAGCCTCCTGGCTATGCGGCTTGTGGGAGATGGATCGGAAACCCACGCTTGCAATGATTCCGGTCCCCTTCGTGGTGACCGCCCTCTGCGCCCTGGCGCCTCCGCTGTCTCGGGACCAGCCTGGCAGGTGCTTTGCCATGAGGCATCCTGATCCCGATCTTTGGTACTTGCAGCGTTACGGAGTTGAAGTCGTCGTCATGCTCTCCGCCCTCATGGGGGTATCCTGGGCGGGCCTGTGCGTGTCGATCGCTTGGCTGTACCAGGCCGAGAAGACTGCTTTGGGCACCCTTGCTGTCAAGTATTCTGTGTCGACTGCTCTGCTGAACACCATTGGGCTCTTGGGATGGACCCTTGGCGGCTGCAAGACTGCCGGGGTGGAAACCTTCGACATACATACGCTGCTGTTTGGTTTGTCCTGCACTGGGAGCTTTCTCACGAATGTCCTCCTGCAAAAGATCGTGATCGTCAGAACTGAAACGCACTCGGGCAGAGGAGAAGCTACATGGATGAGACGTTCCGTCTATGGTGAGTATATAGCTGGTGCAACAATACTGATTGGGGGGATGCTGCATGCAGGGACCAGAGGCCATGGTATTGTACGTGGTGGGAAACTCTTCGCTAGTGCTTATATGCTGGGAAGTCTCCTGCTTTTGGTCTTTGACAGCATCTTCTCCTGGCAAGCCTATGTCACCTTGCAACGGGCTCTGCAACAAGCGCAGTCCATCATGCCGGTGACCTCCTGGGCAAGCAAGATGAGCGCGGCCGTGGCTGTTGCCAAGGTCAACCTTCGCCTCGTCTTGCTCGCCGTGCTCGGGACCAGCCTCCATTACACCACCCTGCTCGTCGTGGCGGCTTGGTTCTGCTTCTCGCCCATGAGCTTTGTGCACTTCAAGTTCTACCACTTATTGCTGCCCATGTGGTGTCTGGACAGCATCTTTAACGACCTCTGTGCCCTTTACATTGGCTGCGGACCAACTCAGGCAGGCCGGACATGTTGGAACCTCAAAAACTGCATGCTGCAACTGCTTCCTTTTGCAACCTTGTGTACCGTTTTGGAGGAGGGGCAGCAGGGCTTCCTGAACCGAGGGTACCCAGATCCCCTTTTGAGAACAAAAAAACCCTACAACCTTTGAAATCGAAGCGCCGCAAACCTAGAAGGGCACTCACCTAGCCAAGATGGGGCCCTCCATGATGCCTCCATGCAGCTTCTTCAACCCTTCTAAGCCAAGCCTGTAAGCCCCTTAGCCCTAAGACCTAAGCAGTAAGCACCCTGAGCTTCCTCTGCGCCCAAACCTCCCAAAGCCCTAGAGCAACTTCTTCGTTAAGCCATCTTAAGCCCTGCCCCAGACCCTAAACTCAAACATGGTAACGCCTTTGCTTGCAACACACTCTAAAGCCTTAAGTTCAGTTCGCCTCGTCCAATTTGGCTTCAAGTCTTGGCTTTTCGGCTGTGACTGCATAGCAAGGCCACTGGCCATCCCAGGCGCCTTCGGCAACTGCCTGACGTGTAATGCCGACTGTCTGAGTCTATCTGCCTGTCACGTCTAAGATCTTTCGGCTCTTTGACGCGTGGTCGCCCTCAGCGGATGTTCCGTTTGGCTGAGACTCAGAAGATGAGAAAATCGAAGTCGATTCTGAGACTGGTGCATACTCGTATGAGGTTTCGGCTACAGGTCACAGTTGTCGCCTGTGACGAAGAGGCTGCCACCTGTCTGATCTCGTGTCGTCTGGGCTGATTTTGCCCGCCTTCACGTTCGCCATGGCTGTTTACCAAAGCTGCCCTGGACTCACAGGCAGGAACGTGTCCCTTCTCATAGTAGCCTTGGAATGCTTAAGGTTTTCCGACCGTGCATTCGATGAGCCCATGCACGCCAGTCGTGTCCGGGTCCGTCGTCATTGTTTGTTTCCCTTGACACCACGCTTTCTCTCCTTGGCATACGTAAACTGTGAAAATGCAAGTTTCCGTGAGCCATCTTTTGTACTGCGGCTCGTCCGCCTCAAGTCACACACCCAACCACTGGACTTGCCTGACAGTCAGAGGGCCGCGGCTGTTTCAGCAGCTTCTGTATGATGTGCTATGCCTGAAACGCTGGAACCTGAAAACTCTGCACAGCCAGACTCAGACCCACCATTGCATGTGCAATGCTCAGGGTTTGGCACAACTGGTGCACTGCCGTTCGGCTGCTTGGTGGCTATCTCCCGGCTGCGAAGGAAAAGGAAAGTCTCGACCCGCCAAGGCTCACATGGGCAGGACTTGCGCAGCCACGCCGCAAGTCGTTGCAATTTCTTCAGGGCAATGCACGTTAAACTTACTCAGCTCCACCTGGGGAATCCTAGACGCTGGCGCGCGTCGCCTCGGCAGCCGTGCTGGCCCAACGCGGGGTGCAGCATGCGCAATCTTAGGAGGGGTCCAAGTGGGGAAGTGGGGGGTCGCAAGGGAGGGCTTCAAGGGTCCAGGGAAAGGGCAGGTCACTCGTCTGATCCACTGTCTGGAGACGGGCACCTGCACGGGGCTTAAAATTGACGCACGACCGTCATGGCTGTGGTGCCTTTGTTCCGCTTGCTGTAAGCGCACTCTGGGCACTGCGCTTCATGAGACGCACCTCAAGCATCCCCCCCCGCCGTTGTCTTTGCTGCTAGCCCATCTCAAGAAGAACTGGCATCTGTCCCCCGGCCCAGAGCCTACCACCCCTCCACCATTGCGTCAGGCTCCACTTCTAGAGTGTGCACATCAGGTTGGAGACGGTTTGTAGAGGGAGCTTGCATTTGGCTACGAATCCACTAACCAGCCCAAGCCTTACAATACCCTCATGCCCTTTTCGTTCCCTATGCCACAGAATGCCCTTTAAAGCCTTCGAAGCCCTCGGTTTTAAACAATAAGCCCTAAACCCGAAACCCTAAACCCTAAACCCTAAACCCTAAACCCTAAACCCTAAACCCTAAACCCTAAACCCTAAACCCTAAACCCTAAACCCTAAACCCTAAACCCTAAACCGGCAGGAGGCCCTGGAGCTGGTTGTCCGTGCTGGCGAGGTCACCGTCGTCGGCCGCCCCACGGAGGCTTGCACAGATGCCGTGGCGGGCCAGGTGCCTTGAGGAAAGACTTGAGGGGGGAGGGGGGGGGGTCATATTTCGGGAACTTGGAACAAGCCTCTGCTTCGCCAAAAAAAGGCGAGACAGAGCTGGGGAGAGGGCGGAGAGGGGAGAGAGAGGGCGGAGGGGGAGGAGGGGGAAGAAAGGGGGAGAAAGGGGAGACAGTGGGGAGAAAGCCAAGACGTTTGAACCAAGCTCTTTCTTGTTTCTTCCGCTCACACTCGCAAACCGAGTCTCCTCAGGTCGTCGTCGCAGGCCAGCACGACCCGAAAACGAAGGGCAAGGTCTGACCCGGCTTGCGGATGATCGGATTCTGCACGGCTCAGACCGGCTCGGCCTCAGCTGCAAATTTGCGGTCGTGGCGCCATCACGCAACATCTTCACGACGGCCAGTCCTCCGACATCCGAAGGAGGCTTCGGAGGTACTGTCATTGATAATGTTTCCGAATGAGCCAAATCCCACCCTTGCTTCTTGTAGTCTAGCGCCAACAGCACACATTGGCAATCATTCTTCACACATACATACCGTACACAGAGAAGGCTCAGGAAAAGACACGTTGACGTGTAGCCGATTGGCCGATGCGTTTCTGCTGACCGCGCTCTCGAAAGCCCAAGGCCATGACATGAAGCCACCCTGCTAAGACCGGCTCCAGCTGGCTCTCACCAGGGAGCAGCAGTTGAGGGTAGAAGGTCCCCGCAACACCCCACAGAAGAAAGTTCATGCACCTGGGGCCCGGTCTTGCAGAGCTCAGGCCACTACAGCTTCATTGGCAACTACTTGGCCTCAAAGTGCCTTGGCCTTGCTTGGCCCTTTCACTCACGCCTATATCCTTTTCTTCCTGAGCTGGTTTCCCAGGTATTGCAACGTCCTGTTTGCGCGTTCCCTGCACCAGCGAAAGGTCCAGGCGGTCAGCTGCACTCCAGGTGGGGTTGACAGACGCGGGTGGTTTAGCTTGCGGGGCTTAGAGGTTAGGGTTTACGGGTTTGATCTGCGGTTGGGTAGTTACAGGTTGCTATTGAGAATTCCGTTGTTGCAGCATCGCAACATCGTTATGACGGTGCTTTCAATCCATGTCATCGCTTTTGGCCATGTCAGTTGTCGTGGAGGAACGTTCCAGACGCGTAGAGGTTCCTTTGCTCAGAGCTCCGAAGAAGAGGAGCAGGGCCTGCGTAAGGAAGTAGCCTCGGCTCGCGTAAGTTCGTAGAAGCTGACGCAGGAAGTAAGATCGGCAAAGCTCGCGGAAGCTCGCCTAAGTTGAAGAGTGAAGGGTGGGATTGGGTTCGTAAGCTAGCGCCGTTCGCGCGCATAGCCTAACACATATACCGCGCACATGTATGAACATTTGTATTTCTTCTTTTTTAGGTTTTGTGCCACCGCTCAGAGGAGGAGGAGGAGGAAGAGGAAGAGGAAGAGGAAGAGGAAGAGGAAGAGGAAGAGGAAGAGGAAGAGGAAGAGGAAGAGGAAGAGGAAGAGGAAGAGGAAGAGGAAGAGGAAGAGGAAGAGGAAGAGGAAGAGGACGAGGAAGAGGAAGAGGAAGAGGAAGAGGAAGAGGAAGAGGAAGAGGAAGAGGAAGAGGCAGAAGAAGAGGAAGAGGAAGAGGAAGAGGAAGAGGAAGAGGAAGAGGAAGAGGAAGAGGAAGAGGAAGAGGAAGTAACGGTAACAGTATTTGAGAAACAGTATGAAACAGTGATAGCCAGCAATCATAGTTATACGGTAGTAGTAAGCAAAATATAAGTTACAAGAACGACACAAACTGTGGGGAAAGGCGAGGTGGACACAGACATCGACCGACACCTTCCTTGGCTTCTTCGCGTTACCTTCCGTGCCTTCCGCGCCTTCAGCCGCGCGCAGACACCAGAGCAGGGTGCTGCTGGAGCCCGAGAGTTCGCTGAATTGCCTGCCTAGGGTTTAGGGTTTAGGGCCATTGGTCGGAGCAATGGCCCAGGCTGCCGTGGCCTACTGCGCAGCGGCACCTGTCACATCTGGCGGTTTCTACGCGCGGTGTGTTCTCACAGAACTTCAAGGCCTGCCGACCTTTGCCTTATAAGATGCCCCACGCCGTACACACCGAAGCCGCCGAAGCCCTCAACCCCAAACGTAAAAAATTGGCGCCGTTTCGAGGTCCTGCAATGGAGAACCAGCTTTGGACCTTTAGCGAGCAACTGGTGGCGGCGGCCTTGCAGCAGGACAGCCTGTGACAGCCTGTGGGCTGAGCGCCTCTTGCACGAGGGCTCTGGATCTGATCTTGCAAAAGTTTAATGGCCGCTCCACTTGCAAACGGTTGTGCGCTTCCTCAAGAATCCATGTTGCGCCGAGATTCTGCATACGTGCTGCAGGCGTCAGCGTGAGATTTCCTGAGACATGGAAGAGTTGTGCGTGTGCCGAGAACGAGGGGCTTTGCTTAGGTGTTGCAGCTTTCTGTGCATGATGTTTGCAACATCACTGGGGCCACGTAGGACGCGGATCAGCGGCTGCACGCCTCGTGAGATCTCGGCCGTGCTGGAAGCAGTTTAGGATTTAGATGTGCCTAAAGGGCTCACAATGTGCGATTTCTGCCTGCCTGAGATGTTGCAGTGATGCACGGCTTGCCGTGTCGCAGAGGCAGCTGTACAGCAAGATGTCAGAATTTGCGGCTCGAACCGGGCGTACGCCAATGGCGGTGGATAGCGGTGGTGTCCACGTGGCGGGAACATGCAAAAGCCTGTGCCAAGCTTCCACGAGGTGCCGCTCAAGCGGTTGGCGCGGGATGCTGGTGCATGGGCTGACAGGGCAGTCTGCGACGGTCATGACTATCCAAGCAACCTTGAATCACTTCGTTACATGTGCATTTGATGGCTTTCGTTCGATTCGATAGCTTTCCCATGCATAGCCTGGCTTTGCCTTGTGCCAGGCGCCCCACCTCCAAGGGAGGCCGGAGACGTGGAGCATGCGGAGCGGGTTTCAGCGCTTTGAACATCCTCGGATCTCTGGGTAGTCGGGCTAGCTTAAAATCAAAATCACGAAAATTTCAAGCTGAGACGTCCCAGGCTTTCAGATAGGATCAAAGCATTCGTTTTGCGCATTTTGCCGCTAGGCGATGACGCGACATTCACGCCGGAGGCACCTCCAAGGTGGGTCGTAGAGATCTCCTTGGCAGTGTCAGCATTTTGAGTCCTGATTTCCGGCTTGACTACCACGATGCTATCAGCAGCTGCTAACATGCTGTCCAAGCTCCGGCTTGGAGTGAAGTTTCCCAGTGCTCAGATCGTTCTTAGAGGCGCCTGCGCTGCAAAACTCCACCGGAGCAGGCTGCTTGCTGATGCGGAAACCCTAAACCCTAAACCCTAAACCCTAAACCCTAAACCCTAAACCCTAAACCCTAAACCCTAAACCCTAAACCCTAAACCCTAAACCCTAAACCCCGGAGCAGTTGAGAAGCTTGCTCTTACAAATTCGGTTCACCGGTTCAACCCGGTAGTCCATGTGAGGCCTTTACGCCTCCCTTGAAGCGCCGATGCAGCAGGCATTCGGTGCATTTAGGGTTTAGGGTTTAGGGTTTAGGGTTTAGGGTTTAGGGTTTAGGGTTTAGGGGTTAGGGGTTTAGGGGTTTAGGGTTTAGGGTTTAGGGTCTAGGGTTTAGGGTTTAGGGTTTAGGGCTTAGGGTTTAGGGTTTAGGGTTTAGGGTTTAGGGGTTTAGGGGTTTAGGGTTTAGGGTTTTGGGTCAACACAGCTGGCACAGAGGGTGGGAAGCAAGGTTGTTCAGCTTGGCAGACGCTCCTAGGCTTTCTCCCGATTGTCTGTGTGGAGGCTGTTCTATTGTTCTAAAGTTAAGTTCCCATGATTCCACTTTGAACAGACTTACCGTATTATTATATCATCGGTGCCTATGCCTCATACTTTCATAAATAAATACACAAGTATATACATATATATATATATATGTATACATATATACGCATATGAATAGCGTTAGAATGTACATAAATAATGTATGTACAAAATATATATGTATATACATAGGTACCTGATGGGATCGCCAGTTTGGAACCACTTCCCCTCGTTTGGTACTCAGGGCGACGCCTTCACGCGACCCAGCTGCTCCCATCAAGGTGAGGATCTTGACCTTTACTCTTTGGATTGGTCGTTTGGCGTTTTTAAGGTTTAGGGGATGGGTAGTTTAGGGTTTTGGGTTTAGGGGATTGGTCGTTTAGGGTTTAGGGTTTAGGGTTTAGGGGATTGGTCGTTGAGGGCTTAGCATGTAGGCGATTGGTAGTCTAAGATTTCTTTACTCTTTACGGATTGGTAGGGCTTTTAGGATTTATGAGATTGGTCGGTTAGGGTTTAAGGTTTGTGGTTTAGGGTTTGGGGTTTAGGGACACTGAAGCAGATGGGCAAGAGTAGCAGATGTGAAATTCCGTTTTTGCCAGGTGCCGAAGAACAACGCCTCAAATGAGCTCAACCTCAACCAGATTCTCCAGCTGATCTGGCTTTTTGCTTTCGGCCGGACGCACCTGAAACCCTCAGCTCCGTCACACTGACGCTCGTATGTAGAAGTTTACACAGGACTCTGGGATGAATGTGGGGGGAGGCTCTGATTTTCGCCTTCCAGGTTCCAGCGGAGGTGACGGGGCTCGTGTCTGGAGGATGGCTAGGAAGCATCCTGAAGTACCGGAATGGGGCCCATCCTGGTGGCCTTTGGTTTCACATTGTACAGTGATGCTCACAACGGAATTGTGAGGCCCGGACACTCATGCTGCTGTTGGCACATTGCTGGCCGAGCACTGACACGGGCCTCATTCGTTTTGCATGCACCACCACTGCAGCGGCGTCTGGTGCGGATCTCTCGCGCCACAGCAATACAACTGGTCCGAGTCATCATGCCGCAGCCACGCACTCGAGAGATTTGCGTCACCCGCGCCACCCAAAAAACACCCTGCAAGTTTCTTTCAAGTCTGTGCAGCTGCATGCCACCGCCGCCTACTCGTCTAGATGTAGTTGGAATCATCATGCATGCTTCGTATGCCCTAGCTTGTGCTGATGTTGACATCTTGCGTTTTGTGCTGAGTAAGTTACACTTAACCAGAGCAGCGCTGCCAAGCGCCCGGGCACGCCTGTGCTACATCTCAAACAGCCACAGCTCGAAGTGCCCCATCTCTCCATGCAACTGATGATGCAGTGATACAGCAGTCGCCAAAATATGTGTGTGCATTGGGCTTCGCTTTGTTGCAGAAGTTTCTTTGGCGACAGGTGCTGTTTGTCAGTTGGTTGCTCTTGTCTTCTGACCAGAAGAGCATGCAGCAGACATCCGCATGCACATCCGTGGGACCGCTAGGCTGCTCAGCAGCCAAGTCTCAAGCATCATCAACCCTCGGAATTCAGTATGGCGGCTCGAGAAATGAGCCAGTGGAGAACGCACATTCCAGATCACAGAATATCGCAGACAGCTGATGCTGATAGCTGATGCGGATGCGATTCGCACAAGTACTCCTGGTCCTGTAGAAAATCATAGAAAATCCATATCCGCCGGGCAGCCGCCAACGCAATGGACCTTTTGGGCTGGGAGCCCTTGAGAGAAGCTGCGAGGGACGAGGCAATGGTCTCAGGAAGCCGGTTCGTGATTCGAAGTTATCATTGACAGCTGCAAA